TGTGTGTGTGTGTGTGTGTGTGTGCGTGCGCGTATCATATGCGTTCATTTCAGTGTCCTAAACCCTCCACTTCAGTCGCGTTTAAGACAGAATCATTTAAGCAATTGGTTTGTCAGCATTATTTGCAACTCTCGGCTTTGGAAACGAAGCCTATCAATCGGTGATTTTGTTAATTCTCAGAAAAGGAAGCAATTACGTATGAGCACGGGTGTGGGTGGTGGTGGATTAGATTGTGGAGCTGCGGGGCTTGATTTGAGGAGATATTTTTTTCTACCTGTATGAACGACCTCTTGTGTAGTTTGACACTACTGCAGCTTTGTTTTGTTAAAGTTAACAAAAAATAATACTTCAGTATAGGTACCGGGTACGTTGATTTAGGCCTACGATGGAGAGACTGAGTAGGGTAAAGGGGGAAAAGGGGGGGGGGGGTCAAAAGAATACATGACGACTCTCGGCGCTCTCTAGAGTTAAAACGCGAAGGGTTTTTTTTAACTTGGAAACGGTCTCAGAAAGACCATTTGGCTTGGATAAACCGATGGCGAGTAAATTCTCATGGTTAATTTAAGATTTCTATATTCTATTTTGTTTCTTATGTTTCATGTAGCGGCGTTTACCATGCGCTAAATCTAGCTTAACTGAGTTTTAAGGTCGTAGTCTTCCAACATGAACTTTAACAGCTTATCTACTCTATCATTCATCTATTTTATATTCATTTTTCAATGTGTTCACTCAGCATTGCGGGGTTTGTTTTGTTTGGAGTTTGGGTTTTTTTGTATCATAACACCTGTAGAAGTTGACCACGTATGCAATTGTCTTTCACCGATGAAAATACAGACTGTGCAATTTTGTTAAAGGTTAATAGGAAGAAACAAAAGATATAATGCCCGTAGAAACTGCTGAAGACGTTCGTCAGAAAAAAGACTATAATATCCCAATACGATTTGTCGTGCAGTGGTACACACCGAAGGCAAAGACCAACAGCACACAGAACTTTTGGGACAGGAAACGGAAGTCCCAGTCTAGACTTCACCACCACAGAGAGCGGCGTGCAGCCACAGCACGCAAAGACAGACTATGGGACTACGGCGTCATTCCTTTCATGATTGAGTCCAACTTCACAGGTGAGTCCAGGGGATCTCGTGGTCTAGAGGTTAAAGTGTTCGCCTCTCATTCAAAGATTCCCAGTTCGAATCCGGGTAGCGACGGAAAAATGTTCTTCTCTAAAATGTTCTCCTTTCACCTCCTTTCCTGCTCTCCGGCAATGTTCTGTCGTCTGCTTTCGTCTCCACTTTCTGCCCCCAGCCCCTCACTTCCTTTGCCCTCTCCTCAGGACACTTGACTCTTTCTGCAGCCTTTCTACTGCTACCCTTTGACTCCTTCTTACTGCTGTCTTTCAACCACACTCCTGATCTTCAGGTAGGAAAGATCTACACTTACCCTTCTCGGACAAGGGTGAAAAATCTCGGAGGTCCCATGTGCAAGTTGCGCGCGTTAAAGATCCTTTGGTGGTCCAAAATCGATAAGAGTAGGCTTCGGCTGCCACACTGGCAAAAATCAAAACGTCCTACCAATTGAAAATGTTTAATGTGTCGTGCGCGCTCATATGACCTTGTACAGTTGTGAGCGCCGTAAAACACTTACCAAAAAAATAATAACGAAACAAAACAAGTGGGTCTTTACGGCGTCATTCTTTTCATTATCGAGTCCAACTTCACTTCGAGCCGGCGTGTCATTGTATAGGTTAAATGCAGGCGCTGTTATCTCAGTTGGTGTCATGCTGTTCTATGGAGTGGATCAGCCTGGTTCGATTTCAAGACTATTTCACACGATGTTTGATTATATTTTTATTTTTGTTCTTATTTTTATTTTAGCAATATGTGTTTTGTTGGTTTGTTTGTTGTTTGTTTGTTTGTCTGTCTGTCTGTCTGTTTGTTTGTTTGTATGTGTGTATTTTTGTTTGTTTATATGGTTAGGGTTGTTTTGTTTGTTTTGTTGTTGTTGTTGTTGTTGTTGGGTTGTTGATGGTTTGTTTGTTGTTTTTGGGGGGGGCTGCAGAAGAATGCTTGCAATGTTGTTTGTGTGAGTTGCTTGCTCTTTACATTAAACTCCTCTAAATCCTGGAACATTTGTAATGAATAATTGATTCCTCATGACTCCAGCTTTCATTTCACCGCACAATGTTATTAATAATAACAATACCCACCGGATCACATGATAGGAATGTTGACACCCTTTTCGTGAATGTTAATAGCTAATGAACTGAGACTGGGATATCATTTGACGGAATATTGAAAGTGTTTATCCTCTGTTAAGCAATCTGGGCTGAAACAACATCGAAAGCATCATTCTCCTCTCGCAGTTTCAAAAGTAATAACGCGGAGATGGTGAAAATAATGATATTGTTTGGTTGTAGCGTTATTATTTCCCGCATTTGATGTCATTACGTTAAGACATGGAATAACATCAAGAGGCTAGCCCAGGATAGAAAAAGTTGGAAAGTGTTTGTTCGTGGCCTATACCCTGGTGCAGAAGGAGAAAGGCAATGGTGCAGATGATGATGACGATGATGATGACGATGATGATGACGATGATGATGATGATGATGATGATGATGATGATGATGATGATGATGATGATGATGATGATGGTATTTTACGTTTTAGATTCCTGCACCCCAAATTCGTTCGCGCCAAATATTTATGTGAAATGAGAGTTAAATTTCCCGTCGGCGATATTTTTAGATTTGTATAAGATCCTCGATCTATTGTTATTCTCAGTGATGTTTGGCTTGTTTGCCAGGTTTGCAGTTCCTACGTATGTGCCTTTTTAAAGTAGTTTCTACCTTTCCTTTTGGGATTTCTAGCGCTAAATGACCCTTCTTTTGGATTTGTCTTTCCGTCCAAATCTCACCCATATTATGGGTGGTCGGAGGGCCCTCTCAATAGTGTCTTACATCTTCATTTCTCCCTGTTGTTTGTGTCTGTTACTTTTCACCTACTCGATATGACCAGTGTTGTATCGATTTGTTTCGCTTTACTCAAACTAAAAAAAACTTACCCCTTGTCCACTCTCCAATCCCCGTTCTATCAACCCCACCCTTTCCCCTCATTCACCCCCTCCCCTCCCTTACCACCTCTCTCACACCCTCCCCTCCCTTACCACCCCCTTTACCCCTTCACTCTTCCCTCTCCACTTCATTCCCCT